GGGGGCACGGTGTGGGCACAGGGGAGTGTGGGCACAGGCGAGAGGGGGCACGGGAGTGTGGGCACAGGTGAGAGGGGGCACAGGGGAGTGTGGGCACAGGGGAGAGGGGCACAGTAATGTGGCACAGGCGAGAGGGGGCACAGGAGAGTGTGGGCACAGTGGAGTGCCCCCCCCCACACACATACCCAGGGCGAGGGCCTGCCCATCCTGCACCAAAACTTTCTGGGGGGAAAACAACTTATTAAAATGTCTGGGAGACTGGAATGGCCTCAGAGGTGTCACTGAAAACCCCCCTGAGGCTTCCTGGCCCCCATCCTCGGGGCCCACCTGTGTGGCGCTTCCCCCAGGTATGTGACAGGCTGGTTCAGCCCCTACCACCGCAGGCGGAAGCTCATCCACCCAGTCATGATCCAGCACATCCAGCCCCAGGCGCTCAGGTAGCCCCTGCCCCCGCCGTGCCCACCCTGGAGCTGGCATCCTCTGCCACATGGTGGCTGTGCTCTGGAATCCCAGGTACCCCCGAACGTTAGTGAAGCCAGCGTGTTCCAAGCCTGAGGAGGGAGGGTGACCAGAATGACTGGGCAGGGTCCAGGCTCACTGTGGAGCCAGACCACAGGGGCCCATCCTGGCCCCCCAGCTGGCATGAGCCCACGTCCTCCCTGGCACCAAGGAGACAGGGTCCTGCCAGCCAGTCCTCTGGGCACTGGGCTCTGTGCAGACTGTCCCTGCTGGGTGTCAGTACTGTGCACCGTTGATGGGTGTAGGTCTTAAGGAAATCCCAGGTTCAGATGTTAAAATGTGCCCTCAGTCATTGATTCCCAACAATGCGACAGCACGTTGCACGGACGGGTAAACTGAGGCACAGGCTGCTCCGATGCGCGGGACCCTCACGGCTGCCTCGCTCTCAGTCTCCTGGGCAGGTGGAGCGCCCTCGCGCAGGAGCTGGCAGCCGCCCTGCACCGTGTCTTCCCCGAGGACGCCGTGGAGGAGTGGCTGCAGGAGAACGTGCACCCCAGCTTGGGGCAGCTGCAGGCCCTGCTGCAGGACCTCGAGGCCGCCAGCCCTCCACCCCCACCAGCCAGCCCCGGCCCCGACGCAGGCCAGGGCCCCTGAGGACATGGGCCTCCCACACCCCGTTCAGCTCTGTCTGCCCAACACGTGCCTCCTGCTGAGCCCAGGACACCAGGCAGCAGGCCCCTCGGCGCAGGTGGTCACGGGGAGGAGCTGAACCAGGAGGAGACGCCCATCGGGCCCTGTTCACTGATCTGCACGCAGAACTTTAATTCTCGTGAAATAAAAAGGAGAGAAGCTAGAGGTCAGGCTGGCAGGTCTGTGACCGACCTCGCTGCCGCCTGGCCGCACTTGGGTGTTCACACGCCTGGAGGGTCCACAGCAGTCCCACCCGGGGTGTGTGGGGGGCAAGCGGGCTCTCAGCCCCCAGGGGGAGCAGACGTGCACAGCGCGGTGCAGCGGTCATTTGGAACCCAACTCGAGCAGGTCTGAGCCACATGTGCTCACGCCAAGGGCTGGTCGCAGCCTCTGCTGAGAAGGGAGACCCATAGAGACCGCGGTCCATGTCACCTGGCAGCCGCAGCCCCATGGGCGATCCAGGCTCTGCCCACTGCACCTGCCCGGAGGTGCTCGGTGCCCAGTTCTGTGGGTGCAGCCCACTTCCTGCCCCACAAAGGGGCCCAGCTGACAGGTCTTCTCAGGTTCCAGAGAAGCTGCACCTGGCTTCTCAGACCGAGGTCCCGGCTTGAAACAGTGCACGAGGCTGGGAGAACCTCTTCTTGCCAAGGGGGCTTTGCCGGGGCTGAGGGGACGGGATGGGCGGGAGGGGATCTGCCCCAGGACAGCCCAGCACCATCCTGGTTGGTCCAAGACAAGCTGAAGCCTGGCGGTGACCTTGGAGCTGAATTCCCCGGGACCATGTGGCCGACTCAGTCGAGTGCAGGAACGCCAGCCTCAGGTCGTGCCCTGGGGAGCCTGCCCGCCCTCCCCTTTCAGAGGCTGGAGCACACCTGGCTGGTCGGCTGTGGGGTGGATCAGCCCAGACCAGGCCACGCCACCCACTGCACTCACGCCCACACCGCCCAGGCTGGGGCCACCTGGCTCCCGGAGGCAGATCCGAGGCCACACCCTCCCCGGGCGCCATGGAGCCCAGCCGTGGCTCTACGCAGAGGGCAGCAGCAAGTAGCAGGAGCGGCCCAGGGCCCTGCCCAGGGGCTGCCGGGGACA